GTACTGACTGTATCCAAGTATAAATAGGCAGGCTCTTCAAGGCAAAAGCCAGGCTGGGGCTGGCTTTAAGCAGGCTTTTCAAGGCAAAAGCCAGGCTGGGGCTGGCTTTAAGCAGGCTTTGCAAGGAAAAAGCCAGGCTGGGGCTGGCTTTAAGCAGGCGACGCCAGGGTAACGTCAGGGCATCATCAGGCTTTAGCCTGGAGCCGCCAGGCCTGTGGAGCTGGGTGATTTTATGTTCTTGTAAGCTCAGATCCTTCTCTTCCCAAACCTTTAATGTAGAAATCATTCTAAACATTGCTAAACCATCCTCATATTGAGCATAAAGACATGCTAATACCACTGAGAAATGATTCAACAATCTCCAGAAGTTCCACATAACAGATTCAACCTTTTCCTTAACATTTGAGCATATTAGAAGTAGAATAAATTGCACCATCTAATACATGCTTATCACATTGGTCCTGTACACTATCAAAGCACCCCCAGAATGAGAATGTGACCATGCTAATACCACAGGAAAGTACCTTAATAGCATACAGAACGAGACATAAAAGAAACAAGCAAGTATGTGCAGATTCCAATCCTGTGAAGCCATCAGTCTGGGCCTCTTCTTTTTGCTATTCTAACCCTAAGGTTAGGATTTTGAGACTTGTCTAAATTAATCAACCTCCTCCCTGCACTAGGCAATTCCGAGAATGAGTGAAACTCAGATATACCTACAAAAGAGAAAACAATGTTAGCTATAAAATCCGCCACTGAGTTGCCTTCACTGAACACATGTTGAAAGATCACATTGAAGTTGCCCTTCATCTCTCTAATTTTCTTCACATCATTTGCAATTACCCAAGGAGGATCCCATTCCCCTTCTATCAATTTCTTCATCACTAATGAATCAGTATCCAATATGAGAGGGTGAAGATCATGCTCCACACAGTATTCCAATACTTGAAGAATAGCCTTCGCTTCAGCCACCACATTAGTTGTCACTCCCAGGTCTACTGCCCTTGCATACACCACATCACCTTCATCATTCCTCACACAAAAGCCTAATGAGCTAGGGCCAGGATTTCCATTTGAGGCTCCATCAGTATTGCATTTGTACCAACCATGAAAATGACGCTGCCATATTACTCTTGTAGTGATCAATATAGGTTTATATCCTTCAAAATATTGAATTATGTCTGGCCATAACAATGGAATATTAGTCATCCAAGCATACCTCACCCTTGCCAGTTGATGCAATGTCCTATTGATCTCATGAATCACCCTATTTGTCGACATCGAACCCCCATGTTTACCTGCATTTCTTCTCTTCCAAAGTTCCCAAGTGATGATAGCCGGTACTTCTTGAAACAATGGCTTTAGCTTTGGACAACATTGAGCATACCACCAATGCCTTATAACCTTCTTCAATTGAATCAATGGCACAGTAATTCCAGCAGCCCCCATGAACAAGTTCCATACTTTAGAGGCAGTAGGACTTGTGATAAATATATGCTCAATAGATTCCTCTTGGGGCTGCTGACAACACCAACACCTAGACATCATCATTTGCCCTTGCCTCCTCCATATGTCATCAATGGCTATTTTCTTCCTCCACAATCTCCACAAGAAGAAGGATATCTTAAATGGTGAGCCATTAATCCACATTAACTTGAATTCCTGATTAGGATCAGGTCTATGCCTTAATATTTGCCAAGCACTGCTAACACTGAACTTGCTTGAAGGAGTTGGCATCTAGTATGGCTTATCCCAGTATCCCTCACTGCCTTCATAATGTACATTTAGCCTTATATGTTCTGCAATTTCCTCATTGAAGGTTTTATTTAGCAGCTGATCATCCCATGTTTCACCTTGCCGTAATTCTGCCACGTCCTTAAGATCTTCATTGATTGGAAAGTCCTCAGGTAATACATGATAAAGTGCACCTAATCCAATCCAATTTTCATGCCAAATATTAGTTGTCCCACTCTTCAATTCCCATAGGATCTCATGTTCTACTTCTTCCCTAGCATTCAGCAGTTCTCTCCAAACATTAGACCCCCTTCTAAACTGCACCATCGTTGGTATCTCGTTCTTGCAATACTTATTCCACATGAAATTAGACCACAAAAATTTTGTGGTCCTAAACCTCCACCATAGTTCAACAAACAATGCCCTCGACACCTCATGTAAGGACCTAAAACCTAGGCCTCCTTCCTCTTTAGGAAGGCGAAGATTTTGCCATGAGGCCCAATGTTTGCTTCTCTCTTATTCCTTTGTGCTGCAAAAGAATCTAGCAAAAATCTTATGAAGATGATCCAGGACAATTTTTGGTAGATGCAGGACTGATAATATATGGACTGGCATACTTTGCAACACACTAGTAATGAATGTTGCCTTTCCTCCAAATGACAGCAACTTTCCTTTCCATGAATCCAATTTAGCCTTTACTTTCTTGATAAGATCTTCATAATATTCCTTCCTCCTTCTAGTGTAGAAAATAGGACACCCTAGATATGTGAAGGGGAATTTACCTTTTGCAAATCCTGTAATAGCTCCAACCGCCTGACACTATCCATTAGAAATCCTGGAATACATGTAGTATGAACTCTTATCTTTGTTGGTCATCTGGCCTGATATCTTCTCATAGTTCCCCAACACTGCCATAATCTTGCTCAAGGATGGAGGATGAGCAGAAGCAAAGATTATAGTATCATCAACATATGCCAAGTGGTTTAAAGGATCAGACCACTTAGGCATCCCAAATCCCACAAATGACCTGTCTTCAAATAGCTTATTCAAAGATCTGGAAAGTACCTCAACTGACAGAATGAACAATGCTGGTGAAAGAGGATCCCCTTGCTTCACACCCCTTGTAGACTTAAAGAACCCTGATGACTGCCCATTCACCAATACTGAATACCAGTTATTTGACATCAAGTTCCACACCATGTTGATGAAGTTCTCAGAAAATCCCATCTTCCTTAGTACATGAAATAAGTACTTCCATGAAACCCTATCATAAGCCTTAGCCATATCAAGCTTGATCACCACATTAGCTGGTTTTCCCCTTAACCTTATGTCAGTGACAATTTCTTGAGTCAATAAGATGTTCTCAAATATACTCCTACCCTTCACAAATCCGGATTGATTAGGAGATATTAGAGAAGGAAAAAAAATTCCAATCTATCATGTAACACTCTAGACAAGACCTTGTTAATGAAGTTGCTCAAGCTAATATGTCTTAAGTCAGAAAAGGTCTCAACTCTAGGTTTCTTAGGCAGCAACACTAGATTGGTGTGAGTGATGGATTTAGGCAGTGCAGCTCCTCCATAGAAGTGAGGCACCATGTTGTGTATATCAGCACCAATAACATCCCAGCATGTTTGATAAAATAGGCCAGTGAATCCATATGGACCACTAGCACTTTCCCCACTAAGCTCAAAAACTGTTGTCCTTACCTCTTCAATTGCTGGCAATCTACTAAGTTCCAAATTTTGTTCCACAGTGACCATCGAAGGTACATTATTGAGCAAGGAAAAGTCAGATGCATCACCTTCATTTGTGAACTGTTCTTGGTAAAAGTGCACTGCAGCTATAGCCAATTGCTCCTGGTCTTCAATCCATACCCCACTTCCACTTTTGATCCTCTTCAGTTGTAATTTCTTTCTTTTGCCATTGACATGATTGTGAACGAAACTTGTATTCCTATCTCCTTCAGCAAACCAAGTCATCCCAGCTTTTTGCTTCCAATACTGCTCCTCAATACTCAAGTATTTCTTCAATTCAGATTGTGTCTTTTGAAGCACAATCCTATTTTCAATTGAAGGCTCTTCTTCAAACAACATCTCTTTTACCCTAACAATGTCCTCCAAAATAGCCAATTGCTTGAAGATATCATCAAATGTTTCCCTACTCCATTTTGACAGTGCTGCCTTCACCCTATGAAATCAGCTTCCCAATTCTGCCTCACCACATCCACAAATGAAGTATGTTTAGTCCAAAAGTTCAAGAACCTAAAAGGCTTGACAAAATTGATGGTCTGCTCCCCACATGTCATTAACAATGGTGCATGATTTGATCCAGTTCTGATTAGATGTTCAACTTCAATAGTTGCAACATGTTTTGAAATGGCAAATTCACAAATATCCTATCCAATCTTTTGAATATACATGCAGCATTGGATCTCCCATTCCACCATGTAAATGGACTTCCTTTGTATCCTTGCTCGAACAAACCACAAGAATTTACACAAAATGAAAAATCCTCATATTTAGGCGGGTGTACCGGTAGTCCTCCTATTTTCTCATCTTCATGTAATATCACATTGAAATCCCCTCCTACCAACCATGGCAATTTCATATCACTTGCTAAGTAATACAAGTGATCCCACAATTCCAACCTCTCAATTGCTGAACATTTTACATAAACAAATGTCATCATCATGTGTTGCCCTAGGTCATGGTGAAGCACTCTCACAGTCACCTGTTGCTCAGTATCCTCCACTAATTCCCATTCCACCACTGCATCAAAAAACAACCATATGTGCCCATTAATATTTGCATAAGTCGTCTCCATATTCAACCTTCTTCTATACCTATCAATGAATCTTTTCTTTTGAAAAGGTTCCATCAATGCAACTACACAAAAGTTATGCTCCCTATTCATGTTGATCACCCTAGGAAAGGCCTGCTGTGTATTCATAGACCTTATGTTCCATATTAATGTCTTGATCAACATTTAGATAGAGAAGCTGCCCTCCCGGGCATAATTCTTAAAGGTTGTTGTGACTCTTTATTCTGATTCTTCTTTGTTGTCTTGCCTCCTTTTGCACTAGTTGTAGGTGATAGATCCCCATCCCTAGCCACCTATTTGAAATTTTCTTCTGTTGATTCATCATCTCCCTCATCCTCCATAGGATTTTGTCTCATTAAGTTGTCATTAATTGGTGCCACATTGTGTGTAACTAAATCATGTAGATGTTGTAGTGGGGTCTTCAATGGAATATTAAGTTGCAGCTACATAATTTGATCAGTGCCATATTCCATAGGCACTTCCTCTATTTCCCCAAATGCTCTTGGAACAATTGCGTGCTCATCATTCTTTTCACTGTTATTCTCCGATCCTACTGTATCATCCCTAACCTTCACATTATCATCAAGTTTGTTCTCCAATACATACATCGGAACACCATCTACATATGCCAAAATCTTGCCAGTTGCACTAGTAACAAGATTAACTATCGTTGCTTCATTAGGTGACCTTGGCGCCAGGCCTGGCGTCGCCAGCCTAACGCCTGTGGAGCCTGGCTTTAGGCCTGGCGTCGCCAGCCTATCGCTAGGTGGGCTGTTGTCCCTCACTTTGTCTCCTGTTGTCTTGGTCGTGCCTATTTGATCATCCTCTACCTCAATTGCATCACTACCTACAGCCTTTGTTGAGTTTATCTCATCAAGGTCTCAAGCTGCCCAGAATCTGCAAATGTTTTAGACGACATATCTTGACATGATTGGTTTGTAGTCACATTGAGTTGCCTTAGCTCCTCTTTGCTAGTTCTAAACCTTCTATGAACCTAGTCGATTGTGGATTCCCTATTAGCCTTTTCGTCAGTACTTTGATCACTAGGAACAATAGGATTATCCTTAGTTAAGTTCCCATTATGCTGATCTTCCAACAATTTCTTCACTGCTTCCTTCTTCACACGCTTAAGTTCTTGTTGGCTACTTTCTCCCGCTGGTTTAGTATTAGTAGGATTAGGGCTTGAAGCTCCGGTAGTGCCTTCTTTTCCTTCTCATAGCCCTTCTTTGATTGTTTTCCCCATGTTCCTTCTCCTTACCATTGCTATGATCCTCACCTTTGCCTTCAGTAATTTGTAGAATAGGTTGATAAACTTCCTCAACCTCTAATGCATTAAACTTGTTCTTGATTACTACCTCCTCAAGTTTGGCCTTCCCTTTACCCTTGTCAGCTTCCTTACTTTGTTTATTATCAACAATGTGACCCCTATTATCCCGTTGGTATTTGTTCTTCCTTGCTTGTATCCATTCCTGCTTGGCATGATTAGTAGCAGGCTTACCAACCACCTTTCCACTTGATAGAACCTTTGTTGAATTTGCAGCTGTACCAATTGCTTCAGTACTCACCACAATTGTCTTCTCCTTGCCTTGATCCTCAACATCTTCATCAAATCTCTTGTGTAACTCAGGATGAATTACCCAACATTCTGCCTCACTATGCCCTTGTTTCTTGCAAGGCTTGCAATATTTAGGCATATAGTCATACTTAATCCTGATCAATTTGAACTCTTCTGGCCCAGATTCATCAGCTTCCTCAACAATCTTAATACGTTTAGGGATATTACCTAGCAAATTCACTTTCACCTTTACCTTAGCACAACTAGGTCTAGTCCCATTTTGAGTTGCTAGGTCTACATGTAATGGATTACCAACTGCACGAGCTAATGAAAATACACATTCCTTACCAAAGAAATTTGGAGGAAGTTCTGGAAAACTAATCCACGCTATGGCAATTGGAGTCTCTTCATCAGGTGTCCACCATGGATTCCATTTTGTACAACGCATCTGCCACATGTCTAATTGAGCCTTTAAATAAAAAGCTGGGTTTGAGAGAAGATGAACATAATCCTCCAATAAAGACAGCCTAATTAACACATGATTGTCTTCAATCAAGCCAACTGAACAATGACCATTAATCTCACATTAAATTGGAATCACTTTTAATTCACCAATAACAGGCTTCCCATATGAAAATTTCCCAAGAACTGCAAGTTGAAGCCCTTGTTGTACGATGGATTGCTTCACTTCTTGTTTCTTCCACTTCACAATTGGTTCTCCATGAAGGAACTCAATTGGTTTCAATGTAGCTAGGGTTTGCATGTGCGTATTTATGACAGTAGGGTTTAATAAATTCGCATATGTTTTAGGTGGATTAGGGTTTGTATTAGGGTTTGTAGAGGTTGGAAACGGCTGAAGGGGGGAGGGAGACGACGGGCCAACCTCAGGAAGAGGCTGGTCACCGGCCGTGGAGGCCATGAAGGGCAATCGCTGGCGTGTAGTTGATCGCAAGAGAGAGGAGAGAGAAGAGGTCGGTTTTTTTCAATTTTAATAATTAATAAAAAAAAACATAAATTAAATACACCGACCAACTTTGGTCGGTAATTAAATTAATAAAATATATTTTCGAACAAAGTTGATCGGTAAATCATTTAACTTCTTCAGATGGTCGTTTTAATATACCGACCAACGTTTCGGTAATTTCCGACCAACGTGGGTCGGTATATTAAAACGACCATCACAATACCGTCCAAGCGTATTTGGCCGCGTGTTGGTCGGTAATTGGCCATAATCGACCAAAGTTGGTCGGTTTTTGTGGTCGGTATTTAGCGGATTTCTAGTAGTGTTAGTTGTTGATTAACATTGCTATGAATTGATTTTAATAAAACAAAAACTACTGTTACACTAAAAATTTTAAAAGAAAAGTCACACACAAATTATCAACCTTCACATATAATTAATTATACACGCTAATTAACAATCATAAGCCCGTGTTAAAAACTGCAGTAATAGGTAGTAGCTTCTCCAAATAAATTATCCAACAGTTCTTGCATTAACTAGGTTGCATTCAAAAAAAAAAAAAAATCTCAGTTCTCAACCATTCAACTTTAACTAGGTTGAATTTCTCGCCGGTTATAAGCTTCTCGGTTTTATTATTTTATCAGAAGAAGAATGAAGCTTAAAACATCAAAAACATGTTAACGTGGAAACACAAGATTAACTTTTATATTATCTATAAATAGAAACTAGGAAATTTCAGATCACATCAGGTCGTTGTAGTATAGTGGTGAGTATTCCCGCCTGTCACCCAGGTGACCCGGGTTCGCTCACCGGAAACGGAGATATTATTTTTAATATCCGTCCATCAGGTCGTTGTGGTATAGAGGTGAGTATTCCCGCCTGTCACGCGGGTGACCCGGGTTTGATACCCGGCAACGGCGATATTATTTTTAATATCCATCCATTTTATAATGGAATGCGGAGAATGGAGATAACCAGGCATAAAGACTTGAATCGGACTAATTAGTAACGATGGGTTTAGCCCATTTGAAATTTTGGTTTATGGGCCAGATTGCTTCCTTCCGTCAACTACTTCTTTGTATAAGTCAGTATGGTCTGTAGATTAGGCCTCATATAATATCGGACTAGCCATATCAGCCCACTTTACAGTTTAGAGCCCGTTTGGATTGGCTTAAAAAAAGTGGCTTTTAAGCACAAGTGCTTAAAAGCAACTTTTAAGTGATGAAACTTATTTTATAAAGAGAATTTTTCATAAAGCACCATCTTTTAGCCCTAATTAGTCATTTATAGATACCCTTTGCTATATTACTTGTTATAGATACCTTTTATGTTTTTATACAATATATTTCATGTATTTAAGCAGTTGTATTCATTAATACAACCAAAAAAATAGGCGTAAAAACGGGAACTCCAGCTAAGGGTATCTGTATTTATCTGTATTCAAGCTGAATACAGATAAAATTTAGTAACGTTTTTGCGCAAATTCTGAGAAGTTAAACTTGTTAAAAACGGAACGAAATAAATTCACATGATAGTCTCCTAATTTAACTCAAAGAAATAATACGAGTACACAATAATCTACTCAAAGAATGCAGAATAATCTTCTCCCTTTTTTCGTGAAAAGAAGAAAAAAAACAGAGCATCCAAATTCTTTAATTCTCTTCTCCTTTATTCGATTGATACAAATTATATACAAAATAAGTTATAGTTGCTCTATACATATGGCAAGTTTAACAGTTTTGTTGCGTCATTTTGGCAAGTGGAACGATGAGGGCAATTATATCGATTTTGCAATTGAGGGAATACTGATTAAGGAGTATGCCTCCTTTAATGATCTAGTTGCTTCAATTTCTAATCAACTGGGTATAGATTTGAGCTCAAAGACCATTAAAATACAATACAAAGTAGAAGGAAATTGCACGCCAATGGAAATACACAATGATATGGGTTACAGAGTGTATGTAGAATTGAAAAAAGAGAACAGAGAATTTGGGATGTATCCTTTGTGCGTAACTACTATCGAAAAAGAGCTCATAGACGGAGCAGTTCAAAGGTACGATTACGATACTGATAATACACTAGCTATAGAATTTGTCAATTCAGGAGAAGCGATTGGAGTGTTCGAACTCCACAATGATTAATTTCAAAAACCAATCAAAAGGAGGTTATGGCCGGACAAGTTTATAAGGATAAGGCTACATTGAAAGAGGTGATGGAGAGTTATGCTATAGCTCAAAGGTTTCAATTCCGGGTTGATCGGTCTAATGCTGTCAGGTTTGTTTTTTGTTTAAATTTGTTGTATTTATGCGTATTTGTGTGTTTCCTCCTGATGAACACATATGAAAACTTATATTTGTTTAGGGTGCTTAAATACATGTATTCAAATGTATTTTAATGGTGTACAAACACAACAGATGCTCTAATTATTTTCTTATTTTGTCTACTGTGGTATTAAGTGTTTGCATATTCATACAAGTGTATTCAGTTGTATTCATTGTGTTTGAACCCATGTAACTATATTGGAATTCAGTTGTATACAAAATTATATATACACTTGTGAATTTGTTAACATGTATTCAGGATGTATATATGTCAGATTCTATTTGTCTGATGTATGAGCTGTATTTGTTGTAAACAAGTATGCTAATCAAATGTTAAATGATTAATTCTTTGCAGCTATGCATTATATATATTTCAGAAGATTGTGAATGAAGGTTTAAGGCTTCAAGCATTAACAAATCATAACTATTCAAGGTGAGAGAATTCAATGATAACTATACATGTCCGCTGAAGGATAAGGTGTACGAGCAGCGGCAGGCTAGTAGCAGCCTTATAGGTGGTATTATAAGGCCAAAGCTTACAAACCATAAGAGGAAATACACTCCGAGGGACATTATTGATGATGTGAAATCAGATTTAGGTGTAGATGTTAGCTACATGTTGGCGTGGAGGGCTAAAGAAAAGGCAATGAATTTTCTTAGAGGTGAACCGGCTGATTCATACAAAAAATTACCAGGATACTTATATACAATGGATATGACATATCCAGGTTCCCACATCAGAATGGTAAAATCGCCAAAGAATGAATTCATGTACGTGTATATATCATTGTATGCCTTTATAAGGGGGTTTGATCATTGTAGACCAATTGTTGTTGTGGATGGAAGTCACCTAAAATCTTACTACACCGGTACATTCGTTTCGGCAAGCACGTTGGATGGTGCAGGTGAGTATCTGAATAATAATACAATATGTTAATATTTAAATATTGAAATACATGTATTAGAAATATTATATTCAATTGTATGTACAGGTCATATATTACCACTAGCATATGGTGTTATTGATTCAGAGAACGATGCTGCTTGGACGTGGTTCTTTGAGCAATTCAAGATAGCATACGGTGTAAGGGAAAACATGTGCATCGTTTCAGATAGAAATGAGAGTATCATTAAATCTGTATCGAGAGTGTATCCGGATGTACCGCATTTTGCTTGTATATGGCATCTATGGAACAACGTATATAAGAAATTCAAAAAGAGCCATGCCATGTTGAGCGAGATATACTTTTCGATGGCAAAAGCATACACAGAAGCTGAATTTGACAGACTAGTGGAGAAGGTGGAGAAGCTAGATATTAGGGTGAAAGAATACTTAGAGTTAGCTGGTTACGAAAAGTGGGCTAGGTTGTATGCACCTGTTAACAGGGGATGGACAATGACATCAAATATTGCTAAGTCAATCAATGCCGCACTAGTTTCGGCAAGGGAATTGCCAATATACGACTTCCCCGAAGAAGTTAGGAAGATGTTTGGACATTGGAATTGTAGTAACTGCAAAGAAGCTACACAGACATACAAGACGCTTGGGAAAAAATACCAGGAGATGCTGGAGTTGAATGAGAGAATGTGTACACGTATGACTGTAAGTTAAATTTTACTGTCATTGCTGTATATATTTTTAGTTAATTTCTGAATTACTGGCATGAATACAATTGAATACAATCATTTTTAAGTAGAACTACCATTAATATATATATGAATGCAACTACATTCAAGCACATAACATGCATATTATTCCATAGATCTGATATGAATACAACTGAATATAACTAATTTACATGCTGAAAAAACTATTGAAATACATCAGAATGCAACTAGCTATATGATATGTAAATGTTATATGTATTGTCAATACGTATGATTATAATGTTTTTGTTAGCATACTGTTGCCTAAACTACAGCAGACTTTTGATACGTTCTGCACTTCTTGCAGATGACATTTTGCTGGTCCATATATATGATGTATTCATATATATGCAAATGTTTCTGTTATATGTAACTTATTAATTCAACATTATACATTTGGTAATTCAGCTAAATGTGTTCAAAGCTTATATTTCTATTTTTAAATGTAGGTGGTGTCGTCAAATGAATACTTACATACGGTTAACGATGGTGGGAGGAATTACACAGTCTGCCTGTTAGAGAGAAAATGTGTTTGTGGGAGGTTCCAAATTGATGAATTGCCATGCCCACATGCTTGGGCTGTATTGAAGAGCAACTTTCTAATGCCAGATGAATATTTCTCTAACTACTACAAACCAAGTACAATTGTAATGACATACGATGTGCCAGTGTACCCGCTGAGGAGAGGAGGTTGTACCAGAACATGTAGCAGAGGAGGTTGTACTACCACCCAAATGGAAAAGACCTCCTGGAAGGCCAAAGAAGAAGCGCGATAAAACTTTAAGTGAACTGCTGCAGCCGAAAAACCAACATTCATGTAGCATATGTGGGCAGGGAGGACATAACAAGTGAACATGTAGAAATGCTCCACGTAATAAATAGTTTTATTCTGACATGTATTGGTGGTTAACGATTTGTCAATACTTATGATGACATTAGCAGCTATCTCTTTGTCAAGTAATATATATTGAAATGACTTTCGTTAATATTTCTGGAATACATTTAGTTGAAGAATTTGTATACAGATAAATATATATGAATTATATATTAAATTAAATACACCAAAATACAACTGAATACATCTGAATAATTTATTTAAATACAACTAGCTAATACTGAATAATACACTTAAATACAATTCAGAACATCTGAATACATATGACTACGTACAACCTGTTGTATACATCTGAAGTTGTGTTCTGTAATATGTATTATATGATAATGAAAGATATATCTGAATGGATGCAGCTGAATACAATTGAATACAACTGAAGATAAGCAGGAATACTTATGAATAAACCAGTAAAACTGTCATAGAAAAGTTGCAATTGTCATACACGAACAAAAATGTATAAGTGATAAGTTTTTAAAACTAAATAGCATCTACACCCAAAACTACTCAAAACAGTATCCTGAATAATATATATGAAGTATAAAGTAAATTTAATACACCCAAATACAACTGAATACACTTAAATAATACATTTAAATACAACTAGCTAATACAGAATAATACACTTAAATACAATTGAGTACACCTGAATACATATGACTACGTACAACCTGCTTAATACATCTGAAGTTGTGTTCTGTAATATATATTATATGAACTTGAAAGATATATCTGAATGGATGCAACTGAATACAATTGAATACAACTGAAGATAAGTAGGAATACTTATGAATAAACCAGTGAAACTGTCATTGAAAAGTTGCAATTGTCATACACGAACAAAAATGTATAAGTGATAAGTTTTTAAAACTAAATAGCATCTACACCCAATACTACTCAAAACAGTATCCTTCTTGAATCTACACTCCAAAACTAAAATGACCTAAAGCTATTCTAAAACTATCTGCAACTTTGCCTCCGACTCAGTGAATTGCCTAGCAATCTTTGAAGGTGCTTCATTCTCGCTTATGGCATCAGCGTCTATCTTGCACATAGCATAGTCCCAGAGGAGAGCACCATATCTTTGACGGAGTAGAGTAGAGTCAAATGTTGTTTTTGGAATCTCTCCAATAGTGCTCAGAAACTCTGCGTATGCTGCAACATGCACTCCACAATCCCTAAAAAATAATTGATTGAAACAATTAAAAATAATTCATACAATTAGATTTGTATACAACCTTGGAGAATGATGATTGAATACTTACATGCTGCCCGCTTTCTATTAAGGCAGATCTGAAATGAAAAAAACTTCAAAGGGATCGTTATGTGACTTGTCAATGTATGCTGGATAAGCAGACCAATCTATGCCTTGACTATCGCTGTAAAAGCCACTGATTGATAGATACAGAGGAAGAAGCTTAGCTAGCTTATCAATCTCAGAAACTACATAGGCATCATNGCAATTTCTTGAAGAAAAGTACAGAAAACTGAAGAGGAAGAGGAAAGAAGAGGGTAATTTTGGTATTATAAAAATTTATAAGGGCAAGAGAGTAATTTTATTGGTCAAACTAAAATGGCTTTTAAGCCAAAATCAAAAAAGTTGGAGTCAGCCAACTTGTTGCTTTTGGCGTTTTTAAGCACTTTTTAGCTTTTTTTAAGCAGCTTTTTTTGTTACCAAACACTCCAAAAACTAAAAAAGTGCTTAAAAGCAAACCAGCTTTTAAGCCCATCCAAACACCCTCTTACTCTCAGGCTACTTGATCATTTCAAAATTTTCGGTACAAATCAAAAAAGAAAAATGACACTGTATAGCCGCTCTCAAAATAATAGCCGAAAAAATATATACCTTTTGTATATATATACACACATTATGCATATTATATATAAAAATTATATAAATTTTATACACTTTTTTGGCTACCAAATTTAAGTAGTTACTGGCGCGGGCAAAAGTAAATGCATGTATTATCTCGCCACACACGTATTAACAATCATGCCACCTTATCTCGCCACATGCGCAAACCCGATATACATAACCCACATTGTCTCACCGCAAGAGCAATATCAACAATAACAATATCACGACAGAAACCTCGTGCAAATACCCAAACAATCCGCCCAACACGTCTAGATATGCCATAATCATAACCACCCAACATGCCAATAATATTCATTAAGACATAAACTCACAATCTACCAATGAAGTGCACAACGACAAACCAATAAAGGAAATACGGATGGGTGTTCAACATATAAGCATGAATTCAACAAACTCAATTTAGCAACAATCTCACAAACGCCAACTTGTCTAATTTAAGAAATAGAACCCTAAAGCATGATTTCTAGCATGGAACATGAACTCAAATAATCATCCAAAATAAATACGCATAGAGCAGAGACCTCTCTATTAAAACAAGGCAATAAGGGCAATCTCGGGTCATATCCGGTCATAAATTACACGTTCGACCGTGTACACACTCGTCACCTCATGTACACGTCATTTCACGCATATCACAAATAAGCAATTAAGCCAAATCCTAATGGATAATTCTCCCACACAAGGTTAGGCAAGATACTTACTTCAAAATCCTCAATCAATACTCTAAAAATGCTCTTCCTTTAAAATTTACCTCCGCTCCACTCAAATCTAGCTAAAAAATGACTTAGTAATATCAAAAAATACTAGAGAATTACATTTCAATTAATGAAGTTAAGATCATTATACAATTCCCCAAAAGTCAACACAAGTTAATCCCGAGCCTGCCCGGTCAAAACCCGAGTTAAAGGGTACATCTTGACTACATATAATCCCACGAGTCCGATATGTGTTTGCTTTTCAAATCCGAGTTTGATTCGACCTCAAATCTCAAATTTTTATTTTTCAAAACATAGTCAAAAATCCCCAAAAATTCCTTTTCAATTGCCATGATTTTGATGTTAAACTCTATAACAAATCAAGTTAAAATATTAAATTAAGTCAAAGTCACTTATTCAATAGTTAGATGTGAAAATCCTCTCCAAAAATCGCCTCTCACCAAGTCTAAGGCTCAAAATGTGATAAGATGAGATTATGTCCCAAAATTCTTTCCTTAATACTGCTGCAGATATCACATTTACGACCAAGGATTCGCAAATGCGACCTCCGCAAAAGCGAATAAAGTCTCGCAAAAGTGACCCATGACAGACCCATAAATTATCTCATTTGCAATAAAATTCTTTGCAAATGTGAAGTCCCCTCCTCAGGCGACTAGTCCCAAAAGCGACATACACGATCACAAAAAGCGAACATCCAAACAGTTACACATGCGACCTAATCCTCGCAAATGCGAGGTCCCTTCCCACTAGCCCAGAGTCGCAAAAGCGAGAATAACCTCGCAAATAACCTCGCAAATATGGTGGTCATAAATGCGAGAATAGAAACACCAGCAAAAATAGAACCTCTCTCAAAACACTGCAGAACGCGTCTGAAACTCGCCTGAGACCCTGGGGCTCCATACCAAACATCCACACAAGTACATAAACATCATACAAACTCACTCACGTACTTGAATCAATAAAATATCATATAAAATCACGAATCAAACACCAAAACACATGAAAAATCGCCATGAAACTCAAGAACTTCTCACTACTAGAAATTCGACAAAAACCGACCAAGAAAAATCGATCAACTTTGGTCGGTAAAAAACCGGCAAAAAACCGACCAAAGTTGGTCGGTTTTTCAAAATATTTTAAGTTTAATTTTTTTTTACGAAACCGACCAACTTTGGTCGGTTTTCTTTGGCGCAAAAATGCGGGAAACTATTTTTGAGTCCCACGAAATTTATTTTTCAAGAAACCGACCAACTTTGGTCGGTTCTTGCAATTAAAATAAATATTAAAAAAACGACCAACTTTGGTTGGTAAATTTGGCCAGTCATTTTAAAAAAGCGACAAACTTTGGTCGGTAATTTTATTTTTTAATAAAACCGACCAACTTTGGTCGGTTATTTTAGTGCGAAAATACAATTAAAGAGTATAAATAAAAAAGAAGACATCTTAAAACAAAATGCACCAATGGTCTAGCGGTAGAATAGTATCCTGCTACAGTACACACCCCGGTTCGATTCCTAGATGGTGAATCTTTTGATTACATAATTAAAATACCGACCAACTTTGGTCGGTTTTTTTTGCAATATTTTTTTTCAATATAATTTACCGACCAAGTGTATTTGGTCGCGTTTTGGTCGGTAATTGGCCATAACCGACTAAAGTTGGTCGATTTTTTTGGTCGGTATTTATCGGATTTCTAGTAGTGGATCTAAAAAACACAACCAAGCGTCTAATTCCTATCAAACTAACTCAGAATGATGTCAAACTTTGTTGAAAAGTTTCAAATGACAAAACACACTTATTTCATGTCCCAAAACCAAAATCCAAACACGATAGCCATAAAGTCAACCCATGGTCAAATTTAGAAAATTTCCAAACCTCCAAGCTGCCAACCTTCGGCAAAATGAGCCAAATCGATCTAAGAACCTCCGAATTCAATTCCCGGCATACGCCTAACTCCAAAATCACCATACGATTCTACTGGAACCATCCAAGGACCATTCCAGAGTCATTAGCACAAAAGTCAACCCTCGATCAATATTTCCAACTTAAGCTTCCAATCTATCACTACAAGAAATCAGCCTTTTAGCGGCGACAAATGTCGCTACAAAGCCCACAAAGTCGCTGGTAAAGACATATAGTAGCGACCTTAGGGTTGCTGCAAGTACAACCGTTACTGAATGTTTTTTGTGACGACCCATTGGGGTCGCCACAATAATTCACATTTGTAGGTGAAGAAGACGTTGATCTCCTCCCACCATGTCATGCTTCCTCTCTTGATCTCACCGACCT